TGGGCTAGTATCTCAGAAAGTGCCTGACACACTAACCAAGCTGAGTTTCCTATGGGAACAATTGAAGTAAACTTTTTGTTCTGGTCCTTTTTGGTCGAGGAGTAATAATACAAAATGGATTTTGGGAGTGACTCAAGAAACAAGGAATGCACAAGAATGAATTGCAAGATGGAATTTATCAAACCCTAGCCTTGCTTGTTAAAAACTTTATAATTTTTTTTTGTTTTTTTTTAATCTCTGTAATGGTACTGACCTTGCTTGCTTTTGAGTAGCCTTTCTTTTTGCAGTAATTGTTGTTTAGGGAGCTTTTCGTTTCTTTTGTTTCTTTTTTTCTTTTTTTTTTTTTTTTAGTCTCTTGTAGTGTTAAGTTATAGTGAATACGCTACAGCAGTTTCTAATTTTTAAGGATCAAGTAATGGTGTAGAACACTAATTCATAATCGCTCTAATTGTATTCTGAATAAAAGTGTAACATTGTGTAGCCTTTTTGTATAAAAAAAAAAAATTAGACACATAGAAATGGTCCAATTAGTTTCCTTTTTAATATGCTTAAAATAAGCAGGTGGATCTATTTCATGTTTTTGATCAAAAACTTTACTGGGATATGTCTGGGTAGGGGCCAGTAAGAACTGTTTATTTGGAACCTTGTATTGGACAGTTTACCAGTTGCCTTTTATCCCAAAGTTATTGTAGCCTGCTGTGATACAGATGCTTCATGAAAAATGCAGTTATAAAAATGGTTCAGAATTAAAGTAAACTTTTAATTCACTGCTGTAGTGGTGGTCTGATTTTTGCAAACCCAGCTTTGTGTAGCTACATATACAAAAAGCATAGTTGCAGAGAAAAGTCCCTTCTAGTCTGACAATTAAAGAAGTGGTTGGTCAGAAGTATGGATGTTCCCAAAACAGCTGAAATGGCAAAGAAAAAAACCCTCCTAATGGTAGTCTCATCTTCACTTCTGCATGCTGTAGTTCTGAACATGAGTCAGTCTTCCCTGTTGCAAATGCTGGCAGTATTTTAGTACTGAGTTCTTCTGCTCTTGGGTACTGGAGCAAAGTATAAAAAGTTTGAAATTTGTTCATACCTTGTTGGCCAAATCCCTGAACCAGTTCTATGTTCCGAGCATGGCAATCAACTATACACCTTACTTCAGGCAGCATGTCTCGCTCCTGCTTCGTCTGCAGTATAAAGCATTTGTTTTAACAGGTGCAAGCACCCAGTCACAAAGACTCTGGCTTGGCACTATCTTGTTCTGCAGCACTCTTGCAGTCCATGTTGGTGATCTTCTGATTTTACAAGAGTGGTTTTAGGCTCTAATTCAGATGCACTGAAGAATTTACAAGTACAGTTCAGTAAGATGCTCTGAAATTCCTTTCAAGAGTTTTTCCATTTGCCTTGTCCTATGGGTGTACAGAACTCTAAAACAAGTCTTGTGCCTCTTGTACTGCATGAGCTGATTCTGTAAATGGCTTATGCAGATCACCTTTCTACATGAGATCACTCCTCTGTAAGGCCAGCTACTGCTTTGAAGCAGATACTAGAGCCCTCATGGGGATGGGAGTGTACCTTGGGTGAAAGATAGAACACCTACAACAAGTTTCCCCACTGAAATTAGTTTCAGACTAAACAAAACTCCCTGAGCTGTAAGGGGTGGGGAGCACATCTGAGAATTGCACCTCTTGTGATCTGCATCTACTTGCCTATCTAATCCATTACAGCTTTGTGATGAAAGGTCAGTTGTAAGATAGTGACTGTTTCATGTTTCCTCCTACCTCTTTGATTTCAGCCATGTTATGGAAAAATGCAAGTTAAATGTATTTGTGCAATATCCAATCCCAAACCTAGCCTATGTTTACCCTGCTGCCTTGTTTATAAAGAGAGTAACCACAATTGTCATCCAGAACCAGGGATCAAATACTGGATTCCTGATTTGTAAATAGCATACTTAAGCGGGCAAAGAGGGTGTTGGTACCTGAAATGCAAACTGACTAGCAATGACACCTCTAGCTTGAGTTGGCTTCACAGCAAAGCAGCTAGAATTAGCCACTTCACAGATTTTTGATTTGGACCACAGTATGTTTTGCACTCTTGACAAGCAAAAATATGACCTGACCAATGAAGGAGCATCCTGGCTATAGCAGATGCAATTCTGGCAGATATTTGACAGTCTGTAAGGGTTTGGGCCTGTAACTTCTGCTGACACTTGGGATTGAATGTGAAGTATCCAGAAATGTTTGCTGTCACTTCAACATGCCCCATGTGCTAGAAAGGAAGGGACACAGTAGACAAACCTGATTAAATGTAGCTGTACACCTGGTTGCTATAGCTTTTCATCTCTGTGACTGACATGACTTACTCAGTTTTCTTCTAACAGGCGTGACTAGTAAATATGAAGTCTTGATCAACTTAACTTCCAAGTTTTAAGTAGGAAGAAAAGTTTTTAAAGGATTTTATTAAGGCATAGTGCAGCCTTTCAAAAACTAAGAGCATAATTTCATGTTTCCCAGAAAAGTGATATTCCATATTATTTTGGGGTGTTAACTACTGAACTATGCTAAAACAATATGGCTCTAGGCTAGGCAACTAAAGAAAGAAACATACACTGATTGTTAATGCTGGATTAGGACATACCTGCTTCATCCAAAACTTAAAAGTATGGAAATGAATTAAGGTATCAGACATTTACAGTCTTATCAGTTAAGACACTTACCTCCAGCACTCCCTAGGGCTCACCTATCTAATGCAGATACCACAGCATTTCACTCAAGGTTGCATTTTAACACACAACCTAGCAATGACCTTATATATACATAGAAGATAGGTATATCTCGAGTCACAGATTCCATTACTTTGAGCTGTGGAGGCTGTGGGTTACAAAGCTTGGGTACCCATTGCTTTTCATATTTAATGAAGATGGATTATTTTATCAGTAGACTTACAGGCACTATGGAAATGCAAACAACTTAATGGGATGTACAGCTGCCATCTTAAGAAACAAAGAACTAGTTAACATAAAATGGAGACTCCTCCTTTCTCAGGGCATCAGACTGTATAAAGTACTGCATCATTTCAGGATAATGCCAGAACAGTGTAGGAAGAACTCCAATGGCTTAACAGCTTACCTCCTCCAGATCATCTTTCCTCCTTTGCTGCTACTGTAAAATAGCACTAGATGGTTTGAAACTAACCCTTTATCTAGGACCTTTCAAAAAATGTGCAATACTAAAAGGTTGAAAGCTCATGCAAATACTTTACCACAAGGTTACTATGTTCAGTCGGTAAAAAAAGACTTCTACCCGAGACCAAATAGACTGAATATAAATGGGAATCTGGCAAGGGAATGTACACTGGCTTAAGCGCCTACCTGTAACATTTCATTGAGTAGCTTCAGGGTTTCAAACTCTGTGCATTTAATGAAACCAGCAAGTCCTGAAATTCTTTGAGCAAAGGGATACCTGTTGTTTAGAACAAGTGGTCAAGGTTACAGAGTGCTTTCACTACCCTATCCTGGAATGGAGAGGAACTCCTGCGTGTTAATAGCTCGAAGTGAAGTGAATACCGCACAAGGGCTTATGAAGTATTTGGTCACTTACAGGAAATTTCCTTTACTGGAAACTAGTGCTGAAATGTGGCTAGTGCTTCATTCAGCCTGCTAACAAGGCCCTATGAAGAGACAGAGAGCGAGCGAGCCTGCCTGTCACTGAACTAGCAAATAAATCCATGTCATGCATCTTAACCAGGCTTGTCTGTGTTTAAAAAATGTTATTTTAGGGAGGGCAATACTTGTTCTGCTAGCACTCATCTGTCAGTGACTGATGAGATGTTCAAAGCCCAAAGATTAATGAGCTATGTCCACAGAGGGACTTAAGCAGCCTGCTGTCTCGTGGTGTACTCAGTCTCAAGTTAGGCACCAAGTTCCCACGTACCAAGGCTCAAGTGTACGCTAGGGCTCCAAAAGCTTGATGGCACCAGGATGCAGTGGCAGAAGCTGTGCTTATCTACTGGCAGAAACTCCACACCTAGGGATTTCCCATGCCTACAGGGCAAGACAGCACTGAGGGGTGTGAAGATCACAGTAGCACCTAAATGTTAGACTTACCTTGGGACTTAAGGTAACAGCTAGGCACCTCACTTGCTTTGCAGATTCAGTCCATTATCATGGGAGCTAGTAAGCAGTTACTAGAAAGCTTAAACGGTTCAACTAAATTCTGTAGCTGTCCTGCAGTTGAAACTTTCGTTTTGCAGTTTGATTGGGCATTTCACCTTATCGTGATGATAGTGCTAACCAGATAATGGAACAACCGCTGCTGTGGCAGGAGCATCAAACTAGTTAGCCAGTATCAAAAGCAGTTAGTTTGAAGGCAGAGCAGGGTGGCACCTTACAGTACTTTGACAGAGTCTGGTTAGGTGGCGTTGGCGCAGACTCGATTCATCCCATCCAGTGTGCTGCAGCGTCTTGTGTATTCAGCATCCAGTTTCAAAATGTTGGTGGGGGGCGCTTTAACTAAAGCTCGTTGAGTGAGGACGCTGAATACATGAGACGCCGTGGGTGTTTTAATCAGAGTGGCTCCTGACAGCTGCTCTAATTAAAACACCCCCCTAGGCACCCCGGTGCCCTTAGAGACTAGCTGGTTCGGAGGCATAAGCTTGTATAGGCAACAGCTTGCTTTGTCAGGGGCTATGATAAAGTAGCATCTGACAAAGTAGGCTGTTGCCTACAAAAGGTGCCACCCTGCCCTGCTTTCTGCCAGACTAAGTGGAACATGACTGCAGATTTATGTAGGGGAGCATAGTTGAGGGAGAAAGGTCAAACAATAGCTACAACAGGCCGTTTGCTCTGCCCCAATTTGAAAGCTTCCTTGTCAAAGTCGCTTTATTTTCCCCATGGATGAAATGTTCTTGTAACAGAACTGCCAAGTTTTTGAAATGTGTTAAAATTGTTCTAAGAATTGCCACAGGTTGGTTTGTGCATATGGCACTTGTTAACCAAAACTCACTGGAACAGGGAAGTATGAATGAAGGCATTTATTGTACTTCAACTAGAACGCTTTCTCTGGTTTTGCAAATGGCCTTTTAACTACATGACAGAAGATCTTGGTTCTACTGCCTGTGTCCCAGACTTTCTGTAAGATGCTAGGAAATCACTCCCACTCTGAGCTTGTTTTCTCATCTGTGCAAGGGGATGATGCCACCTCCCTGCAGCGTGGCCAGGACTGCGTCATTAACATTGGCAAAGCGCTTCAGAAATCATTCCACATGCAAAAGTCACTGTCCTACTCAGAAAAATGTAATTTCTCCAGTTTCTCTCAACGAGAAAACATTCTATTTCTGATCAACCATTTTGTATGGAAATGTATCATGGTTTGGATGAAACGAACAGTTCTCCCCTACTGTACGTATCTGCATTTTTCTAATTTGTGTTTTTCAAAATACAACTGCCAAGCACTTTTGGTTAAACTAAGAAGGTACTGAATTAAGTTCAACAGAGCAACAGACAAATTATCGCTTTTTCTCCACTTCTCCCGTATTTTTAAGTAGAGAAGAAAGCAAACATAAGTATGCATGTGCCCACACAGTTTTGCTGATTGAATTAGGACTACTCTACTCATCTGCAGCCATCCTAAATCAAGTGCAAGGAATGGACCAGCACAAATGTCTTTTGGTTTCAGTCAGGTCTGTGGAGTGATGTTTGATCTGGTAGCCTTGATCTTTTCGTGTCCAACTGTTCTGAGAATTTCAAAAGCCAGGGAAGCAACAGCAATATCGGCATGGGAGCTAGGGAAGAAAAGAAAAACAGTAACACTTCTTAGAAATCTTTCAGGTAAAACATCAGATCTAAATTCTGCAGTTGCTCCACACTGGAGACTCATCTGAGGGTGGCGGCCACTTTGGGTAACTCCTTTATACACCATTTTTCTGCTACGCAGTAGCAAGATTATACTGTTTTTTTCAACGTACAGCAAGTCACATGTGAGCCCTTAAGTTCATGTTTACCATAATTTCTTCCCTGATGAGTCCCACTGTGTGAAAGGGAAAATGTAATAATTATATTTCAGTAGTTTATTTGGGAAAAAAAGTCTCATATCTTTTGTCTCCTTTACACACATCTTCAAATGTGTGTCCGAATCCAGAGGCTGCTCTGCTGATGTCTATTTTCTTTCCTTCCATGGGAAGGACTAACTGCCCCTGCTACACGCAGTTATGTTTTTCAGACCAATTCATTGCCTTTATCAGCAAGTACAGTGCTTCTCTAGCCCTATTGTCTATGCTAAGCCTTATTGTCTATGCTAACCATCTTCCAGCATCCCCACACTTATTTTGTCTGTTTTTCATGCTGGGTAACATTTACTTTTCCCAGAATTGGGAAGTGTCAGGGCTGGCCCAGTGAAACTGTTACTATGGGCTACCCTGCCCTTCAGTTATTCTAGCTCTATAAAAGTGTGTTAGCACACTGATTCATTGATGCCTTGGCTTCTGTGTGGGATATTTATCAATTGAATGCTCTGTTTTTGGTGAACAATGTGTACAGTCACAAAGTCCAAAATGCTGGTCCAGGAGTTTCTTACTGAGCAGCAGTGTAAACCAGAAACCTTAAATTATTTGAACATCTTTTCTGAAACTAATTCAGCTCATAGTCTTGGCAACTGTCTTCACTGGAAAACAGCAAACTGGACAAATTGGGAAGTACAAAGCTAGTTCAGAACAGTTAACACGTGATGAATTCTATGTTGCTCCCAAATGATTTGTCCTGACTGGTTGAGCAATGCTGCTTCATGTAGCTTCTTCAAGGCAACAGGAAAGCACGTATAGCTCAGCTTTCAATCTATTTAAACCTGCCAGGCTTCTCCTGAGTGTAATTAAAATCAGCACTACAACAAAAACTGGAACTGAATTGTAGAAAAAGAGGAAACAAAAATCTGTTAGTGTATATTTTTCTCCCTATCTTAAGGCGAGCTGCAAGGAGATCTATTACTACGGTCTAATAATGTAGTTTGATATAGAGGAAATTGCAACAGAGCAGCTGCATGGAAAAGAGGGGTAACGGCTTTTCCAAGTTGATATAAGGTAAGCTCCATTAGCTCTCTGCAACCATTTCCCTTGCCACACCATCTCTAACCCTATGCCCATCTGCACCCCACAACTAACTGATTTTCACCTTCTCCATAATTGCGCTGTTTAGTACACCCTCTCAAAACCCTCCCCTACAAAAAATACAATGCATTCTGCAATAGTGCATAAGGACCATTTTCAGAACTTGTGCTTAGACCAGGCCATGCAATTAACTCACACAAAACCTACACTTGCATGTGCAAAAGGGCACTAGAAAGATTAACCAAAGCATTAAAAAAATAACTGGCTCGTGACCTCTATGACTTGCCTACAAAGTATATCTCATTCTGCACAGAAATACAGCTTATCAGCCCATGACACAATATTTTAAGAATGGCAGAGAGCAGTCACTATCTGCTGAGTGTGCAAGGGGAATTAAGTAGGGAGAGCGTCATAACCTGGGCTGGAATTCGCCCAGGCCACTGGGATTAACAGCTCTGTTCTCACACTTGACGCCCAAGCATTTCAGAAGTGGTCAGGACCTCAGTTTTGTAACCTTACCTGAAAAGACATGAGGCATTCTGAGAAGTAGGATATTTCTCATCTTTCTCAAATGCACATGCAAAAAGTTTGTGCTTTTACAGACCCCATTATTGTGAGGCAGGGCACAAAAGTTATGTTTTGCTGCCAGCACACTGTACCAGGGAACAATAGAGCAGTATCTGGTTATGAAGAGGTGAGCCATTAAAAAACAAAAAAACCCCAAAAGCCCAACAGATTGTGTCACATAGCTATGGCCTGCTGCATCTGGGGATCAAAGCACACCGCAACAACAGCAACAGAAAAGCTAGAAAGCTTTGAATAAAAGGAGTGTTGAGGACAGCAGTGTCTGAGAGGCGAGGGGTGGTAACACGAGAGGCTTGTAGTGCATGAGGTGATTATATGAGAAGGCCATTTCAGACTAAAGGGGAGGGGAGATCTCGGCCCTGGAAATTCCTGAAAGCCCGAGGGAACTCACCTGGCAGTTTGGGCCAGTCCCCCGAGAGCATGGATAAGAATATCTCCATCATTCTTCAAGCTCTCACAGTGCTTCTCGTTTGAAGTTATCTGGAATGAAAAGAAAGGAAGGTTTTCAAAGGCTTAGGAAGAAATTCTTGTGTGTCATTTTTAGTGAGGTGGGGGAGGCAAACAAGTTACAGCAAATTGTTACAATGTTAACTGGAATGTGACGTTAAAGAGGCAACAACAAGAGAAAACCCCTTGCTGAACGAGACCGGATTTTAGGCACAGACCATCTAGAGCAGCTTGCTTTCATGTACATGATTTATTTTTGTTCGGTATCCCTGCGTGTGAGATCATTCACAGATTACAGTCCACCAACCCTGAGCAATTGCTTTTCATATTTATTATCGCTGCAACTAATATTATATCCATTTATTTCGAACTTCAGGGGAGTTTTCAACACAAAATCATTTTGATCTTGTCAGCCTGCGTTCAGGTTAGTTATCTATATTATAACATGCTGGATTTGCTTATGGGCAAGAGGCAGCTGGTTAAAAATCATGGCAACTATCAGAAAGGTTCTCCTTCCATGTGGAATCACTACCACTTATTACACATTGGAAACTTTGCATGCTGTGCACAGTGACATGCCTGCCTAAGGCCCCCTCTACAAGTGCAGGTAAAGGTGTGATAGGATTTAATGCACAATCCATACAACCACTCATCCTGCCATGCCACATGTCCATGACATGAGATGTAACTGTGGTATCATGCATTAAATAGATCCCATCGCATTTTATTGCTGGTGCAGGGGGAGCCTGATCTCGGACTCCCCTTGCACAAGAAGCAAGCTGGAAGTTGAGGAGCTCCCAGCCACAGGGGTGTCCCATGATCTCCCAGGCTCAAAGAGGGACGGATCGTAGCCACGATCTCCCAGGCTTGGAGAATCGCAGCTGCCTCAATCCCTAGGGCTCGGGGATGCATGAAACCCCTAGACCCTGCTACACTTACAAATTGAAACTGGATAGCAACCAGCTATAAAGTTAGTACATTTTTGAGGTCTAACTTCATAGCTGGTTGGAGCTTTTTATTGTGCGATAGCTACTTTGCCTGTGCAACTGGTCTTAAGGTAACTGTGCAATACCTGTAATGTGTAGAGGGGGCCTTACTGTCTATATGGCAGGTAAAACAAGAAGAAGGGTCTGCATCATTTCCTGTGTTGGACTAGCTGACCTTGCAGTGCTCTACCAGTTTCATCGCAGTAAGCTAGAATGACCGGTCTCCCATCTTAAGGGTATAACTTTTTCTATTCAAGGTAACTGCAAGAAGCTGCCCATTTCCTGACATGTCAATCATGCTGGCGGGAAGGTCAAGGTTACTGTGACATGGAATTATATAATTTGTATGGCAGGCATTGAATATCTGGTAAATTGCTTAAGGAGCTCTACTATCAGTTTCCTTCTAACGCCCAGGAAAGTGTCAGACAGATCTAAATATAGACTGCCACCTGCAAAGGTGACCAAAATCTTGGCCAGAAAGGAGAAGGAAAGGAAAGAAGTACAAACATTTAACGTTGGGTGCCTGATTAGTTAAATGACTCAGAAGATAATGCTTGAAATCACAGATTTTAATCCTAAAATTGGCAGGGAACTACAGACTATAAGATCTCATAGCTGGTCCTATTAACATTGATCAGGCATACTGATTTGGCTTCAAAGTCATCTCTTTAAAGCTGCAGCAAAGCTATATTTACTGCTGCCATCATGCCTTAATTTGTGTCAACAGTGATCCTACTCTACTACAACAGTGTCACTGCATCTGTAATCAAAACATCCAAAGACAAAGAACAGGGTCCTTCTTGTACTAAATAACAAGTTTTCTTACATATTGAGGAGAAAAAAGAAAAATAACTCTCCTAAGTAAATCCATTGCCTAAGTACAAGTCAGTGATCAAGTTCTGTTTAAGACCATTCAGCCTTTCTCCCTTTTTTGAAGCTTATGCAAGATCCCCTCATTTTACAGTTCAATCATCCATCCTTCCTTTGTTTTCCTTTAGCCAGAAAATAGCTTTGTGTTATGTGTTCTGAATTGCAGAACAGATGACAAAGGGAACAAAAACAACATAATCTTATTTAGCTTTGTTCAATCTTGCTTTAAATGTCCCATGCAGTAATGCCTCTATTTCTTCCCTAGGAAGCTTATACCTATCACAGCTTCCTTTCCATATTGTAGTAAAAACAGTATCAAGGCAGACATTTCAATCTAGGCTAAACCAAAATTTGCAACACAAATTTTCAAAGAGGTTTCAAAGAGTCTTGTGAAATACACATGCTCAGTTTTTGTGCAAAACCACTTGTGAACACCAATGGTAGAATTTGCACATGCACAATTCCAGTTTGCCAAATTTGCAAAGTTTCACACATCTAATCTTGATCTATGGCGTACAGAATACTGCGTTAATCTGCCATACAGGAAATTAGTCCAGCTTACATGACACACTGGCTTGAAGAAGAACATGTAATAGCAGAAGTTGCAGGACAATTTTGCAGAACCATGCGGGTTAACTTGAATAGCATCTGCTTATTTTTTTGCCAGTACTATGAGCTACTTACTGCCATGAGTATTAAATATTTGCCTTCCCCAAAAACTATTTTTTATATTAAACTGCTTGACAAAGCTTACTGTGCCATGAGTTGTCAAAGGCCTGCTGACACACGGATACTAGACCCTTTCAAATGTAAATGTTATGAAAAATACTGATTAGTCTCAGGAATTGCTTTTCAGCTAAAAGAATGAGGGCAAAATCTAATATCCATATAATATTGACGAGCTGACTGATTTAATTTTTAAATAATACTATCAGTGGTTGTAGTCATAGCAATATTAGTACTGTAATAGTAATAACAAAATTATAATAGTGAATTAGTTGCCCAGTTTGGTTTTTAGATGGCTATACATGATGATATAGCATGTATAAGGAAGACAAAGAATAGAAAACTATCAAAACATGACCATTTTAGACATACTTCTAAACATTTTAATATTTTTCTTTTACCCTACATCACCATGTGACTTGCCTTCACCAGTTATGTTTTTAAGGGTTCCTTTATGTTTCTAACAAATGGTTTAGAGATCTGTTGTCACAATGATGTTTTGTTATGGTGGATTACAGCACATGTTCAATGACTTACAATCAATGGCTGTTCCCTTAATTAAAAAATAAAATTAAATCTCAATTTAGTTGTATATTCATTGCAATTTAATAAGAATTTCAAAAAGATTTTTCTTTATTAAGCTAATAACACAGCAGATTTCCTTTGTTTAACTCTGTTAAGCAAAGATGAGTAATAGAGAACAATATAATTGATATGTAAATTTAATTATTTCGTAATAGATACAATAGCTGGTCAGGTAAGTGCATTCAACATTTAGGAACAGATATCAAATGAAAAAGTAACTTCAGCTTTATTATAGTATGAATGACCTTACTGGAGTTGGGCTTTTGATTTAACTCACACTTGTTTTTGTCTGATTTTGCTATTGTCTTTTTCTGAGACTCAAATCTGAGCTTGGCCCTATGCAAGAAGAGAAGATAAGGAGCTATTTTCCTTTTTTAAAGTTTCTGGCTTCACAACACTGAGCTGTCTTCAATTTGTCACAACTTGTAGATTTTTGATTTATGACTGACTTTGAAATCAATTAAACCGAAGGGTGACATTTTCTCTCTCCATTTGGAAAGGAATGTGTTTTTTTCTTGCCCCGTTGAAGGTTTAAGTGAACTGGAAGTTTCTGTCTGTGTGGGAAAATTATACCCAAATGGGGAAATATAAAATGCTTTACTGGATAAACAAATGGGGCCAATTGATCCCGAAAATTTGTATTTTGTGATTTTCTTTTTCAAAGAAAGGCCTTCAGGATCATGTTAAACTGCACCACTCAGCATTCCCTTCACAAGTATGACAAATGTCCACACACATGGATTGGTGTCTACCCATTTTAGCTATCAAACGCATGATTTTCACAAGTCATTAGTACAGATGCATACAAAAGAGTAAGTGCATCATTTTCCATCCATTTCTGTGCATGTACCCTGAGCTTTTCTTTTTCCAGTGTGGCCTGACACTCGAGTTCCATAAAGGGATGGATTTTTTCTACGTAAAAAAATCTGATACAACAAAAACCATGTCATCTTTGCAGAATTAGTTGGCTCATGTTGTCTACTCTCACATTAACCTTCATGTGTTAACCTGCCTGACTGAGAGCAGCAAAAGCATCAAAAAACACTTTAGCTGCATTGCCTTAGCAGCACATGATAGAGTGCCACCACTGCATTACTATGACTAGCATTAGGAACATTTCCATGTCAACTCAAGTTCTGTGATGGCCCAGTTAGCTTGCGATCAAGGCTCTGCTTAACTAGAGGCAGAGATTTCTGTGGATGGGTGCTGAGCTTAAGCAATACCCAATTTATACTTTGAGCTAATGCTGGAGCAAAGACAAATCCAAAGCTTTCTTTTTTTCTCTGTACAATAGCTGTAATATATTTGTGGCCCTATACAATATTTATCATTACAAAGTTTCAGTAAAAGTTTTTCAGTTCTGCACTCACCACAGGCTTTACTTTAATTTAAGTTATATAATATGTCATTTGTAATATTTACTATGTCACTCAGTGCATATGGAGCAGAGTCAGAACCACTTGATCTTGTCCCTATTTATGTATACATATAAATACCCTTTTCAAAATAAATCTCTGTATACATGCACTTTAGGCACGGATTTTCAAAGGTTTCTAAATGTTATCAGCTTCATCCTGCCTGGTAACTTTAGGCCTGTATAGTTCGCCTTCAAATGTGAGCTTAAGATCTTAAGTTTATATAATTATTAACTGTATTACAGTATTACCTAAAAGCCCCAATCAATTGGTGTTAGCACCATGCAAATGTACAGTACAAATGCACAATACCAGCTCCACAATAGCTTAGCTTAATTAAAGTTCATTTACAAACATGGATTAAAAAAACATGCAGGGAAGAGATGGCATGTGGAGGTTATGATAACAGTGATTTGAATATGGAGATATGAACAACTTAGTGTGGTGGAAA